CCCATGTATAATGAATTTGAGAGGACACAAACCGATTGCTGGACTTTTACACAAATTAGGCCATATGTATCTTTTTTAACAATGATGGTCTATTTCCCATCTACTTGAAGATGGGAATTGGTTGGCTTGATCTCAAGAGAGTCTACTATGATTTAGATGTAACCCTCTTGTCTCCATACAGGGGGTACTGGGAGATTGCAGTTCACTCATGCAGTTCCCTTTGCTTTGGGCATTTTATTAGCAAATGTCGTTTTCCCGCCTACTGATTGTGACTTACAGTATATTTCTTATGTACAATAAAATTGAGCTTGATTTCTAAATATGAACATTGGTATGATCAGCCAGTGAACTGTGATAATATAAAAAATTATTCATACACAAAACATCAAGATAAAATGATTGTACAACAATCATCTCATATGAATGTATTGAAAGGAATTGCATGTTATTATGTTGCGTAGAGCCATGGTAAAGATATATGCTTCTCAAGAGGTCATGCTCCAGTGCAAGCATACATATTAGTTCATGAAAAGATCATATGAATAAACAAAATATACTCAAATATATAAAACACAACTGTCACAATCATTCTAAGGATTTTCAAAATGGCTGACATCATTTTATTTCATGCTGAAAATTGCAGAAAAGTTCCATTTTTGCACAACCTTGGTCCTTACCTAGATTTTTACATATCTCAAGAAGTACCTTAGAAGTACACTATTCCCTCAATACATAAAACTTTCTAGGTAAGAACCAAGCGTTATATGAACAAAGCAAGAGTTTATCATGACCTTCCTCTATCTAAAAAGAAGTAGGTCAACACAATTGCAAACATAACTAATCCCTACTCAATGACTATTGAAATATGACTATTTATATGTACAAAATATTAATCCAATGAGTGTATACACGGGTAGTATCTAAAGCCCCGCTATGATTTAAAAATCGCGAGCAAGTTCCCGCTGAAATCGCGAGGAATAAAAAGAAGTCATGGGTTCTTTTTTGTGTTCTTGAATTGTATGATTTACAAAACATTTTCTTTTAGTTTTTCCCAATGATTACATGGTATTGAGACTAAAAAAGCAACTGCTGGAAAAAATGTATCACAAGCGGTCGTTCTGTGGTTCGTTATTTGTCAATTGAACAGAGAAAGTATCATTTTGAATCTTTATCTATATATTTCTATACGCTATTGGTGAAGAACGATGTTGTCCTGTGGTTGAAATAACGATAGTGATATGAAATAAAGATGTACCGAGTTTCACTTCCTAAAGCTTTACAGAACATTTTATATTTAAATTTTATCATATCCCTCAAGGCCCCGCTTCTAGCAGGAGCAATAAAGCAAAGATCCCGCTGAAATCAGGAGGAGGCCCCGCTGAAAACATGAGGAGGTCCCGCTGAAAACACGCATATGGAGCAAGTATCTCTCAAAAATGGAGTGAATCCCGATTATTGGGTTGTTTCGGGGGTGAACTTTATCATTTTGAGCTTAATGAAAGATTATAGAATGATGAACAAATGGGGCAAATCTTGTGTAGAAATACTTACGATAAATGTGTCATTTCAAAGATTTTTCATTGAATTTGCTTCGATCGGAGCCGGCGATATGATTTTGGAAAGGTTTCTAAATGAAGAACGTGACGTCACTTCCGAATCATAGCATTCAAAATAAGTAGCGTTTAATTACTTTCACTATTCATAAAAACACGGTGGAGGCCCGGGTTCGAATCCCGCATTCGCCTTTATATTTTTTTAACTAAATGATTGTTCTTTGATATTACGCAGAAAAAAACATAAACTTTATATTAGAGCTTGAAAATGTAAAAACAATATATGTCAACATATTGTGTTTTGGAGCGATGTGCAGGTTTAATATAGTTCATATTATGATACGTTGTTATGGAAAACTGCAGTATCCTATTTCCATGCCATTTTACAGAATAAGAAAGATCATCTGAGAAATGTGATGAGTATTAGATCGGACGAAATGTTAAACATTTAAAGGGTGACGATTAGCATCCCGTATAAAAACAATATGGCGGCTCCAGGCGAATCAACTGGATCAGTCCATTTTGAAGAAATAAGGGGAGATCTGTAAAATCAAGTTTATTGAAATTGTCTTTTAGATAAAGTAATCCGTTTATAATGATTTTGAAAACGTTATTCAAAGAGTGATTGCGTTCAAAGAATACATGTACAACAGCCAATATAAATTCTTGTATTGGAAACCGGTTGGTGTTGCTTTGTTTCATTTGTAGGATATTTCATATGCCAAGCTGTGTGCTATTACGTTATGGGGAAATTTAGATGCCAATTTTTCCTTATTATACACAAATAGAAGATCCTGAAACTTCACCCATAAATGTGGAATTGATTTGTCAAAATAAAAATCACCCTTTTATAAATGTGTGACGATCTATAATATACTTATGCTATATAACAGTTAGAGGTGTTAACACAACGACCTCGAACCTGTGAACCCTTGAGTATTATTCCGGGATCGGGCCTTTTATACTAAACGGTGAGCAACACCAGAAACGAGCGTTCGATTTGCTAAACGATATGCGTCACCCTTTAACCTCATTTTCATAATTTGAAGTAATATAAGTTATTGAATGATTTGAAGTGCTGTATAGGATATCATTTCGTCCCCGTCAAGTGTGACGATGGGTGGCTCTTTGAGACCGTCTCTGTTGAAGCAGTTCTTCAGAGAATGCTTTTCCTTTGTGGATTTGGCTTCGGAAGAGTTCTCTGGCTTGTGAGGCTGTGTGCCAGTCATCCGCCATATGGAACCGGGCTAGGTCTTCCTTCACGGCGTCCTTCCATCGTTTCTTTGGCCTTCCTCTTTTCCTGGTACCATGATGTAGCTCACTGTACAGCATTTGCTTGGGGATCCTGGTATCATCCATCCGACTTACATGGCCAAGCCATCGAAGCCTAGTTGCCCTGATGTTAGTTTCGACAGTGAGAAGCTTTGCCTTTTCTAACACAGTTGTGTTGGAAACTTTCATGTGCCATTTTATTCCCATGATCTGCCGTAGGCATCTTTGATGGAATGTTTCGAGTTGTCTTAGGTGTTTAGACAGGGTTGGCCATGTTTCACAACCATAGAGCAGACATGGGAGCACAGTGGCTTTGTATACAGCAATCTTTGTAGATAAGCGTAGGCCTTCTCTGTTCCATACTCTCGAGAGTAGTGACTGAAAGGCCCCTGCAGCTCTGGCAATCCTGCGGCTTATCTCATTGTCGAGTGATACATCCTTGGTAATAGTTCCTCCAAGGTATGTGAACTGGTCTGCTGCTTTGAGCTGATGACCCAGTAGTGTGATAGCAGGAGGGTCATCACACAGCTGGTGCATTACTTCCGTTTTTTCTATGCTGATGGTAAGACCCCATTTGGAACAGGCATCCTGTAGGGCATCAACTGTGTTTTGGAGATCAGTTGTGTTGGAGGCAACAAAAGCAGCATCGTCAGCATACAGCAGTTCCTTTATATCTGTGGTTGATGCTAACCTGGTTCTGAGCCGACGAAGGTTGAAAAGGTTTCCATCCAATCTGTGTCTTATTTTGATTCCTTGGTTAGTCATGTTTTGAGAGGCTTGTTTAAGGACATAGCTAAAGAAAAGAACGAACAATGAAGGAGCTAGGATGCTGCTCACGGCATTTCTCTTGTAATTGGCGCAGAGCAAACATCATGTCGTTTGTTGACCTGCCTGTTCTGAAGCTGCATTGAGCTTCAGGGAGATGGCTTTCGATAACAGGCCATGATCTGTTAAGAACAACACGGGCGCACAGCTTGTCAATAATAGATAAAAGAGTAATACCCCTATAGTTTCCACAGATGAACTTGCACTTTTTTTTGTAGAGTCTAATAATGTTGCCGTCTTTGAAGTCTTGTGGAACAGCTTCTGAATTCCAAATACAAATAAGAAACTTGTACAGGGCATTCTCCAAGTCAGGGCCACCGTACTTAAGCAGCTCACTTGGAATTGCATCAGTCCCTGGGGCTTTGCCTGAGGATAGTTGTTTAAGTGCCCTCTTGAGTTCCTCTTGTGATGGTTCAGCTTCGAGTGCAGTGAGGGTATCTTCTTGGGGTATTGTATCCAGCACTGAAAGGTCTGCACTAGATGGTTGGTTGAGCAGATGGTCAAAATGCTCCCTCCAACGTGCTATGATGTCGGGTTTTTCAGTGAGCCTTATGCCAGTTGTTGAGTTGATTGGGTTGAGTGCTGGTGTTCTTCGGCATGATATTAGTTTAACTGCCTGAAAGAAGTTTCTGGAATCGTGGCGATCTGCATGGGCTTCAATTTCTTTAGCCTTTCCAAGCCACCAGTCATTTTTCATCTTCCTCAATTCCTTCTGACATTTGTTGCGTGCTGCCTTATAACGTGCTGCCTTATAACAATATAGGATATATTGTGCTAAAAAATTCTGTATTGGCACGAGATGAAATCAAGTGGAAATACAGCATATCGAGAGCACAATGTTGCGCTTCACATCGTTGTATAACGTTTTTTATCGTGTGATCTTGCTACATAGTCCATAGGACATATTCTGTATTCTCTGTATTGCAACTGTCCCCTCTGTTCCATCTTTGAGTACAAGTCGATATTCAGTAAGATACACGAATAAGCGTGCGTTTAGGTCAACCTAAAATGATTTAGTCAGAATAATGTTTATGAATATTATTCCTATATCAATCTCCTGTTGCTTACTTGCTTGCTCGCTTTCTCTCTTCCTTGCTTCTTCGCATCCTTCCTTCCTTGCTTCCTGGCTTCCTTCCTCGCTTCCTCACATCCTTCCTTCCTCGCTTCCTTCCATCCTTGCTTCCTTCCATCCTCGCTGCCTTCCTTCTTTGCTTCCTTGCTTCCTCACTTCATTCTTTCGCTTCCTCCCTTCCTTGCTTCCTTCCTTCCTCACTTCCCTCCTTTCTTTCTTGCTTCCTTCCTTGCTTCCCTCCTCCCTTGCTTCCTCGCTTCCTTCCTCGCTTCCTTCCTTCCTCGCTTCCTTGCTTCCTCGCATTCTTGCATCCTTCCTTCCTCGCTTCCTTCCTTCCATCCTTGCTTCCTTCCTTCCTTTCTTGCATCCTCCCTCCCTTCCTTGTTTCCTCCCTTCCTTGCTTCCTCACTTCCTTCCTTCTTCGCTTCCTTGCATCCTTCCTTCCTCGCTTCGTTCCTTCCTTGCTTCCTTCCTTCCTTTCTTCCTCGCTTACTTCCTTCCTCGCACCCTTCCTTCCTTGCTTCCTCCTTTCCTTGCTTCCTCGCTTCCTTCCTTATTCCTTGCTTCCTTCCTTGCTTCTTTCCCTCCTTGCTTCCTCGCTTCCTTTCTTCCTGGCTTCCTTCCTTCCTTGCTTCCTCGCTTCCTTCCTTCCTGGCTTCCTTCCTTCCTTCCTTCCTTGCTTCCTCCTTTCCTTGCTTCCTCCCTTCCTTGCTTTTTTCCCTCCTTGCTTCCTCGCTTCCTTCCTTCCTGGCTTCCTTCCTTCCTTGCTTCCTCGCTTCTTTCCTTCCTCGTTTCTTCCTTCCTTGCTTCCTTCCTTCCTGGCTTCCTTCCTTCCTTGCTTCCTCGCTTCTTTCCTTCCTCGCTTCCTTCCTTCCTTGCTTCTTTCCTTTCTCGCTTCCTACCTTCCTTTCTTCCTCGCCTCTTCTTTTCTTGCTTCCTTCCTTCTTTGCTTCCTTCCTTCCTCGCATCTTTCCTTCCTCGCTTGCTTCCCACCTTGCTTCCTCGCTTCCTTCCTTCCTCGCTTCCTTCCCTCCTTGCTTCCTTCCTTCCTCGCCTCTTCTTTTCTTGCTTCCTTCCTTCCTTCCTTGCTTCCTCGCTTCCTTCCGTCCTTGCATATTTCCTTCCTCGCTTCCTTCCTACCTTGCTTCCTCGCTTCCTTCCCTCCTTGCTTCCTCGCTTCCTTCCTTCCTTCCTTGCTTTTTTCCTACCTCGCTCATTTCTTTCCTCCTTCTTTGTTTCCTCGCTTTCTTCATAAATTTCTTCCTCACTTCCTTTCCTCCTTCCTTCCTTGCTTCATGCCTTCCTTCCATACTTCCTCGCTTCCTTCCTTGCTTTTTTCCTTGCTTCCTCGCTTCCTTCTTTCCTTCCTCGCTTCCTTCCTTCCTCACTTCCCTCCTTCATTCCTTGCTTCCTTCCTTCCTTGCTTCCTTTTTTCCTCCTTCCTTGCATCCTCGATTTCTTCGTTTTTTCCTCGCGTCCTTCCTTTTTCGCTTCATTCCTTCCTTGCTTCCTCGCTTCGTCCCTCGCTTCCTTCTCTCCTCCTTCCTTGCTTCCTCGCTTTCTTCTTTCCTTGCTTCCTTGATTCCTTCCTTCCTCACTTGCATCCTCCCTTCCTTGCTTCCTCCCTTCCTTCTTTCCTCCTTCCTTGCTTCCTCGTTTCATTCATTCTTTTCTCACGTTGTTCTTTTGTCGCTTCATTCCCTCCTTCCCTCCTTGCTTCCTTGCTTTCTCGCCTTCTTCTTTCTTTCCTTACTTACTTCCTTCCTTGCTTTTTCCTTCTTTCCTTTCTTTCGTCTTTGCTTGCTTCCTTCCTTCCTTCCTTCCTTGATTCATCGTTTCCTTCCTTCTTTGCTTCCTGGCTTCCTTTCTTCCTCGTTCCCTTCCTTGCTTCCTTCCTTGCTTCCTCAGTTCCTCCCTTCCTTGCTTCCTCGAATCGTTCCTTCCTTGTTAATTCGCTTCCGTCCTTTCTTTCTTCCTCAGTTCTTTCCTTCCTTGCTTCCTCGCTTTCTTCCCTCCTCGCTTTCTCGTTTCCTTCCTTGCTTCCTTCCTTCCTTCTTTGCTTCCTTGCGTCCTTCCTTCCTCGCAATCTTTCCTTCCTCACTTCCTTCCTACCTTGCTTCCTCGCTTCCTTCCTTCCTCGCTTCATTCCTTCCTTGCTTCCTCGCTTCCTTCTTTCCTCGTTTCCCTCCTTCCTTCCTTGCTTTTTTCCTTCCTCGCTCCCTTCTTTCCCCCTTCTTTGCTTCCTCGCTTCCTTCACAAATTTCTTCCTCACTTCCTTCCTTTCTTCCTTCCTTCCTTGCTTCATTCCCTCCTTCCATGCTTCCTCGTTTTCTTCCTTGATTCCTCGCTTTCTTCTTTCCATCCTTCCTCGCTTCCTTCTTTCCTCATTCCTTGCTTCCTCGCTTCTTTCGTTTTTTTCCTCGCCTCCTTCCTTTCTCGCTCCATTCCTTTCTTGCTTCCTCGCTTCCATCTTTCCTCCTTCCTTGCTTCCTCGCTTCCATCTTTCCTTGCTTCATCGCTTCTTTCCTTCCTCACTTCCCTCTTTCCTTCCTTGCTTCCTTCCTTCCTCACTTCTTCCTTTCCTCCTTCCTTGCTTCCTCGTTTCCTTCATTCTTTCCTCGTGTCCTTCTTTTCTCGCTTCATTTCTTCCTTGTTTTCTTCCCTCCTTGCTTCCTTGCATTCTCGCCTTCTTCCTTCCTTCCTTACTTCCTAGCTTTTTTCCTTCCTTTCTTTGCGTCTTTGCTTGCTTCCTTCCTTCCTTGCTTTCTCGTTTCCTTCCTTCTTTGCTTCCTGGCTTCCTTTCTTCCTCACTTCCTTACTTGCTAGCTTCCCTGCTTAATTCTTTACTCGCATCGTTCCTTCCTTGCTCCCTCAGTTCCTTCCTTCCTTTCCTCCTCAGTTGCTTCCTTGCTTGCTTCCTCGCTTTCTTCCCCCCTCGCTTTCTCGTTTCCTTGCTTCCTTCCTTCCTTCCTTCCTTCATTGCTTCTTTCCTTCCCTCCTTCCTTTTTCCTTCCTTGCTAACTTATATTATTCCCACCTTCACTTCCTCGATTTACTTCCTCCATTCCTTCTTTACTTGCTCACTCAATTACTTACTTTGTTGCTTGTTTACTTCCTCACGTCCTTGCTTGCTTTCTTGATTATTTACATTCTTTCATATGGCAGTGGAAAGACAAATTTTGATGAAAACCTGCAAACGAACAAACGAACGAGGAAAGAATGCACGGATGGACAGAAGAAGAGCCGAAAAAACAATGAATGAACAAACGGACGGATAGGGGGCCAAAAGAACGCATGAAGGAAAGATAGAAGAAAACAATTTACAAAAGATCGAACCCATGCACTCAAGAACGTAGTTACAAACAAACGCACGAATGAACGCACGCAGGAACGAACACACAAACGAACGCAAAAAGAACGAACAGACGAACGCACACATGAATGGACGGTTGAACGAAAGCACGCACGGACGAACGGACGCCTAGACGGACGAACCCACGAACCTATGAAGGGCAGTCAGACGAAAGCAAGCACAAACGGACGGTCAGACGAACACATGCGCACACAAACGGACGGACAATCGCACGAACGGATGCACGCACGAACGAATGAATGGACGGTCGGACGAACGCTATCACGAACGCATGGTTGGGCGATGCACGCACGAACGAACAATCGGTCGGATGAACGCACGCATGAATGAACGGACCGTCGGACGAACGCACGGTCAGATGAACGCACGCACGAACGAACGGTCGGTCGAATGCACGCACGAATGAACGGTCGGACAAAGAAACCAATGAAATATATGTGTCCTCAGAAGTATAATCCTTGGAATAGTGAATTATGTAGAATGTACATTTAACTCCGAAATGTACAATGTCTATTTACATATAAAAATTCGATCATGCCGCTGACAGATGGATTAGACTGCCTGAAGTTGAAGAAGAAATATTTGTGATGTTGTCATAGAATGATATGTTATGTGATTGTCATTAATACGTTATCGTGTACGTTCATATAAAGAAGCTCACTATATTCATGGAATAATGATGAAGCTTTCCTCGTGATCGAAGCGGGTAGTCGTGGAATTTGCTCGTGTTTTCAGCGGGGTCTCCTCATGTTTTCAGCGGGGCCTCCTCATGTTTTCAGCGGGGCCACTGGAACACCTTTAATAATGTATTTCGACCCCCATGGCAGGTGTCATTGTCCAGTAACTTATCAATACAGACCATCTTGATCTGATATTTATTATGGAGTATGTAAATCGTATTTATTGCCTTTATTTTAACGATAAAGGTAATATATGAACAGTAAATTGTGCAAACGTGCATGTTGACGCCCCTTTCCTTCATGGAAGTAAAAAATAATCATTTTTCATGTCATTTTTTGTCAAATATATCTGTTTTCAAAGTTTTGCTGGAATATCAAAGAACGGTAATAAGTATTTTCATCCTTTTGGTTCATTTTCCAAAGTGATACAAATAAACAGGACTATGCTCGCGATTTCAGTGGGAACTTGCTCGCGACTTTTCAATCATAGCGGGGCTTTAGATACTACCCGTGGTATAGAGTGACACAATCAAACAATGGGACATCTGCCAAGATGGGTTTATACATTCTGGAGACATTTTCTGAGACTAATAAAACATTCACATTTTCACAGGAAGTGATACATACCTCCCAAATCAACCACAATATATTTATATCAGGAATCTCGAATGCTTTTAATTGCTATTTCTTGAAAATATACATATTTATCTACAATTTGATCCTACATATCAAGGATATTAACGACATTGCATTTTTCAAAAAATGTTAAGTTACCCCAGGGGTGTCTATATAGGTAGCGATCTGAGGTACTTCGATCAGGGTGTTGTCGGGACAATTTCTCTTGTGACTTAGGTTATGTATTTAGGTCTATCTCAACAGATTTTACTGGTCTTATGCGCCGCAAATGGTGCGAAAGATGTTAAAATTGCATTTTCGACCCTAAAATTCAGATTTCTTTGGGGTACATTATTATTTAGCTATAAAACAAAAACTAAACAATCAATGCTTCTTTCTCTTAGTGTTTCTGTTAAGAGTACTTATATTTAAAATGCATATGTAAAAATATTAAAGAATTTTAACTTAATTTAAAAACAACAACATTTTTTCATCCTAAAATAATCGAATTTAGGGGGGTCGAGAGACACTGATCGGAATTGATATTTTAATTTCTCAATCAATCTTTATTTAATATTAATGAAACTTTCCTAAAAATAGCACCAACATGTCCCCAGCATATTACCCATAAAGAAAAAACTCAAACTCTGTTGTTTTTATCTATTAGAGTCAATTTACCTCTCCCCTCTTTCCCTTATAAAAGGGGTGTGGCCATTAATACATGTGGATTTAAACAGTAGCATATGTCACATTAAATGAATACATGTACATATATATCATGTATTTTATCAAATATATTACCAGAAAATAGTTTCACTTAGGTGTATACAATAGTACATACCTGTGAATTATTTATAATACAATATTTATTCTAAGTAGGCTCGAGATATAAGAATATTAAAAATCTGAAGTTGAATATTATCTAATACACAGTTCACAACTCAGTCATAATATTGAATCAATCAAAGAATTAATTAATAATAGAACATTAGACAGTAATAAGCCTTGAATAGCTTACTATTCTCCCTTATTGTTTTGCTACATGTTCCCTGCAAATAATGGATAGCAATTTATAATTGCAATTAGATAATCAGTTTATTAAAGTTAAATATAAAGGTATTTTGTATAAAGTAAAACCTGTGTACAGTGAACATCTATAGAGCCACAAAAAGGTGTTCACTATTGGTAGATCTCAATACAGAAAGACAATTTGTTTTGGAATCAAGGTATGTGCTGAAAATAGGGTGTTCATTTTACATAGGTGTTCACTAGAGACAGAAAGGTGTTCACTAACACAGGTCCCACTGTATTACATTTGTATTAGGCTTATGTCATTTCAAAGACAATCACTAGCTACAAGTAAAACAAGGCATTAACATGACAAGTGGTCACCACCTAGTTGAAACAAGATAAAAAAATACCTTTTTGACCTTGAGGAGGTCACTAAAGGTCAAATCTATTCTGACCTTTAGAATGTCATTTAATGATCAAATCTATATTCTTAAATCTTAAGAAGGTCATTGAAGGTCAAATCTCAAACCTTAAGTCAGATTTGAACTTCCGATAACTTATGGTTAATTTGAAGCAAGTTGAAAAAAGACCTTTTCTGACCTTGAAAAGGTCATTGAAGGTCAAATCTTAAATATAAAGTCAGATTTGAACATCTGAAAACATGTAGATGATTTTGAAAACAATTGAAGTCAGTCTATACAGTATTTTTTAATTCTTGGAAATTGTAAGAATTTGTTACAGACCCCAATTGCCAACCACCAACCACAAACGGCCGACCACTGACCACCGTCAAAAAAGAACAGAGACCATAACAATATGTCACCACTTTTTGTTGGTGACATAAAAATGATAACCTGATATGAATCATCCTCCTAAGCAGGTGTCCAGAATCCGTACCTCCTTCTTTCCCCTGCGATAACCAATTTGGACGCGCCTGATTTAACTGAATCACGTGATCTAATTATGCACAATGACTTATACTGAGATTTCTGTCGCAGTGTTGCGACAGCCAATCAGATTGCGAGTTCTTAATCGGGGAGATGGTAACTGCTTATCGCTGGGGGTAAAAAGAAAGAATATGTTGTGGATTTTGAAGCCCTGTGATCAGAGGATGGATATGAACATGAAGTATTTATTTTTAGATGAACATGCCAATATGGCCACGCCCTTCTAAAAAGGGAAAGAGGGGAGAGGTAAATTGAACCCTATAGGCTAAAAACATATTAGAGTTTGAGTTTTTTCTTTATGGTAATGTGTTTGGGACATGTTGGTGCTACTTTTAGGAAAGTTCCATTAATATTAAACTGAGATTGATTGAGAAATTAAAAAATCAATACCAATCAGTGTCTCTCAACCCCTCTAAATTCTATGATTTTAGGGTGAAAAAATGTTGCTGTTTTTAAATAAAGTTAAAATTCTTCATTTTTTTACATATGCATTGTAAGTATGATTACTCTTAACAGAAACACCAAAAGAAAGAAGCATTGGTTGTTTAGTTAGTTAGTTGTTTTGTTTAGTATAGCTAGATAATAATGTACCCCCAAGAAATCTGAATTTTAGGGTCGGAAATGCAATTTTAACATCTTTCGCACCATTTGCGGCGCATAAGACCAGTAAAATCTGTTGAGATAGACCTAAATACAAAACCTAAGTCACACGAGAAATTGTCCCGACAACACCCTGATCGAAGTGCCTCAGATCGCTACCTAATAGCCATCCGTTCTTTGTTGATTAAAGCATTGAAAAGGTGTTTTAGAAATGAATTCATGCAGTTTTTTATTCTTTTTTAGAAATAAAGACATCAAAAGTTCTGGATCATAATCGTGTCGCTTCCAGTTTTCTTTGTACCGCTAAAACTTAAAGTATGAACTCGACTAGTCAACATGGTATAATAGCCATTGCTGTAGCGTCCACGTCATTGACAGTGGGAGTGACATTTACAAATCTCCTATTGATCATCGCAGTTTTAAAATACAGAACACTGCGAACCCCAACAAATATCATTGCGTTCAATATTGCATGTGTTGGAGTGTTACGAGGATTAGTTGCTGAAGTGATACGTATTTTAATGAACTATGAACACGATATCGCAAATAAAGTCGTATACGGAGCAGTCACCAGTAAATTTATGTGTATCATCTGGCAGATAACATCCAACATTGGGGGGGGGGGCATATTCTCCATCCTTATATCTGTGGATCGCTACATCGCTATTCAACATCCTTACAAGTATAACAAAGTTATGAAACATGTTGTCAAAATGTGTGTTGGTTGCTGGGTTTTAACGGCTCTGCCATACAC